ATTGACGATGGGCAAACGGGTTCGACAGCAGTTAGAAAAAGCCCTCTTGACTTTACATAGACTGAGCAATCCACTCCAGTTTCCATTCAAATACCGTCCTCTACAATTGAACAGGAATTGGGAGAAATTAGCCCTGCGAGGCACAAACGAGCAGAAGAGAGGCTGCATTTCCACTCATGTCGCATTTGAATGCACCAACTCGAAAGAAGCACCTGCAGGCACCCTGATTGTGACTCGCGAAGGAACGCTCAAACACCACTACACAGTGCCCCTCCCACTGAGCACGCGCCATCTCCGTCCTCCTACAAGAGGACGCTTACCTCGAGTAGGTGTGGTCTTGTGAGCCGTCAATTTGCCCAACTACAACAAGACCTAAACAAGTGGGCCACAAATCGTCGTCACCACTTTACCCGGATGAAAGCGATGCACGTTTGCTGATTAAGGGAGGAGTGGAAGGGAGTGAAGGGAGCATTGTGAGGCGCCTTGTTCTCAACTTGCACTGATGCTTCCAGTGTAGCAGTTGTGGAGGAATGCAGCAAAGTGCATCGATTGGTGGGAAACGACGTGTCGAGAGTTGCCCGCTGCTGTGACAATCGATTTGCAGCACTTACATACATCACATGAAGTCCATTGTGGTGGACTACCACAAGTCCGCAATGAACCACGAAATGCATTTCATCCGTTTGAGATTACCACCCTTCCTGTGCCAATGCGTTGGATCGTTTGAGCGATAAGCACGCGGTCTTGTAGCATGTCACGAAGTTGCCCTACACTGCGAGCAGTAGACTGCTAGGTTGCAGGAGGAGGAGGAAGAAGAAGAGCAGTCACAAGACCACACTTCTTCCCTTCCATCCTTCATTTTTTGTGTGAACAAGGTGTTGGATTGAAGAGGGATGAGGAGTCGCAGATTCTCCTCCACCCGCATCCCAAATGCCTACCTCTTCAAACAGAATCACTGATGCGCCCTCGATGACCTCCCGATTGACTCTTGGCGACAGCCACTGCAAGTGCGTGTGAAAGTGAAGTGAGAAGGCGAGTGTCGAGACCATGTCGTTTGTCTCCGTACAGGAGTGGAGGGATGCGAATGCAGTTACGATGCCCAAGTGCACCGCGTCATCGCACACTCCCTCACACCCTCAACCAAAATGTTGCGTTGACTTGCGCCACCACTACCCTTTCTACTTTCTCCATCACCAATTTCTTTGCCTAATTTGGACCCGTTGACTTTGCAAATATTTCCAAAGTCCTTCCTTTTATTTTCCAAGGGAACTGTTAAGCATTGCTTAACTGAACAAATTGAGTTACGAGAATCTGTCAAATCGACCACTCCTGCGCCTCGTAATTTAATCCCCGATGAAGCAGACAATACAGTCTACCAAAAAATAAATCCCTTGTCACTTTCAAGATGAATGGATAGGTGGGTGAATTCATAGTCATTGAGAAAGTTACTGTTTGAGGT